TAAAGTCTATTTTTTTAACATTATTATAATAAATAATATATATATATATATTAGAATTTTTTTTTTATTAACATTTATCCTTTCAATAAAATAATTTTATAATATTTTTATTAATACGAAATATAAATAATAAATTTATTTTACATAGTTATTATTTTTTTTAATTAATAATCTATCTTTTTTTAATTCTTAACTTTTTTTTAATGTCATATACATTTTTATTTATATAATATTTTTAAAAAAAGTTAATTGTTATCTTTAAAATAATATTAATCAATTATTTATTTATTTAATAAATTTTTATTATAAAAGTTTTATAAGAAACATTTATAAATTTTTTTTTTTTAAATATTGCAAAATTAATTTTTGTTGTTGTTGTTTTTATCTTATTTATTATCTTAAATATTAATTTTTTAATATAATTATAATTTTTGTTAACAATATATACATTCGGTTACGTTTTTATTTTAATAAATTATATGATTTTATTTAATTATTTAATATTTTTATTTATTATATGTTATATTATTAAAATAAATTATTATTATTAAAAAAAAGAATAACTAATAAATAATATTTTATAATGAATATTCTTATTAATATTATATATGAATATTTAAATCTTCTATTTTTCTATTTTTCTGCATAATTATATCTATAATTAAAATTTTAAATTCTTAAATAATATTAAAAATTAATATTTAAAATTATATATTTATATAAAAATATATTTATTTATTTATAGAAATAAAAATATTATATTTAATGTTTTTAAATGTAGAAAAGTACTATATAGTCATTAAATATAAAAATTTAAAACCTGCGAATCAATCCTTTAATTAATTTACTTCAATTAATTGATAAACATAATATAAATTTTATGTTTATTTAATTATTTAATTAAAGCTAATAATAATATAATATAATATATTAAATTTACAATTATTTTTTTATCTGTTTTTTGTTATGTTATATTATTAGAAGATATTATACAATCAATATTTTTTTATAAATTATATCTATATTTAATATAAATAATATAAAAATATTATTTTTTATATAAATATTTTTAAAAATATATGTATTTGTGCTTTAAATTTATTAAATAATATATTTATCTATTTAATATTATATAAAACATAAATGTATATCTAATATAGCAATTTGACTGGATAAAATACAATAAAAATATATTTTATCTAATAAAAATTGCGTACTAATAAAAAAATATATAATAATATAAAATATTAATTTTAAAATGAAATAATTACGTGTCGTTTTTCAAAAGATATTTTTAATCTTATCATTTTTATATTTATTTTATTTATTTCATTATATTTTCATTTTTTGTTTTATATTTTATTTTAATAAATATATATTTTTTAATTTTTATTTTTATTTTATATTAAGTTATTTTTGACTTATTTAATAAATATAACTTTATACTCAAATATATTTGTATTTTATTCTAAAATAAAATATTTATTTAGTTTTTTTAATTAAAAAAGTATTTTTTTAAATCTTTATTTAAAATTTTCTTTATAAATAAATTTACTTTATATCTAAAAAAATTATGAATATTTTTTTTTTTTTACTTAAAAAAATATTAAATATTTAACTTAATATTATAATATATATCTTTATACTTTAAAGAACTAAACTTAAAATAATTTAATTTTTATAAATAGACTTATTTATAGAATTACATAATTTTAAAATATCAAACTTAAAACTTTATTGTAATTAAAATAAAAGTATATTTATAATAAATATTATTACATATTCTATTTTATTTAGAAGATATGTGACCTTAATTTCTTTTATAATCCACAATCTGATAAATTTTCAGTTATATTAGACATTTCTTTAACAAAAATTTAAACATAAATTAATAAAAAATAATATTATATTCTACTTGTAAAAGTTATATTTTCTTAAATTTTAATTTCTGGATTTTTTTATTGGTTTTAATTATTTTTATCTTCTTTTATAAAATTTATTTTTTAAGAAAGAAATTAATTTTCTTTTAAAACAATATTTAAAATTTGATTATGATTAATTTTATCTTTATTTATGAATCTTGTATGAAAATAATTTCTATTTATTAACATTAAAGGAACTTGAATTTTAGAAAATTAGTTTATTGATTAATTTTCCTAATCTCTACTATAATATTCACAATGAACTTCTTTGCTATCTTTTTAAATTTATTAATATATTTAAATATAAAATATATATACATATATATATATATAATATTTTTAGTATTAAAATAAGTTATTATATATAAAACAATATATATTATTTTTATTTATACAATTTTCTTCTTCCTCCTTTTTATTCAAAAAAAGAACTGTTTTATCAGAATTGGATTTATTATAATTTTTTTTAATATTTCTATTATAGAAGTTTGATTTTGTAATAATTTAAAATGAATTCTATGAAAATTCTTCTCTATCTGAAATACATATATGACTTTAATTAGTTTACAAATTCGACCAATCAAAAACATTATCTAAATAGCAATTAAGTTCTTCTTTTAAACATTAATTAATATTATTTAAAATCATTTAATAATTTGGTTCATCTTCAAATTCTAAACTATCAATATACTTAAAATACCACAAAAAAAACACGGCAAATTTTCACATAACTAATAATTTGTTATCATTTTTTTAATTTATCCAATCATTATTTATTTACATTCATTTCCATAACTTTCACCCAAATTTAAATCTTACCAAGGTAATCTACCAATTAATAAATAAATTAGTACATACCCAATACTTTATAAATCATCTTTTCGGCCTTATTCATGCCCAAAATGAATTGATTTTGGTGCATATCTATATGTACCTACAAACGGTAAATTTTCTATTATTTATTTTATTTAAAATAAAAATAATGAATTACACTTAAATGGAATATGTTAGTTTTCTGAATTTATATACTTTTTAGCTGTCCCGAAATCAATAATGTATAATTTGTTTCTATTTTTACCTACTCCTACTACTATATTTTCTAATTTTATATCTCTATGTAAGTATCCTTTATCATGAATATCTTTAATGATTTATATAAGTTAGAAAGCTGTCATTAAAACAGTTTTTGAAGAAAACTTATTCCCACATTTTGATATTATTTAGCTTAAGTCTTTTCCTAAAACAGGCATACAAAAATATTTATAATCAATATATTTATTATCGTAATCTAATATTTCAGGTATTCCATTTATTCCCTTTAAATCTATTAAAGTTTAAATTTCTCTATCTATATGGCATTATTAGTTTTTTTATTATAAATGCTTATCAATTTTTAATGCAACTGTTTAATGTAATATATGACTATAGGCTAAATAAACTTAACCATAAGATCCTTATTAAATTATTTTTTTTACTATAAACTTTTCACAAGGTATATTGTGATGTGACATTTATAATTTTTTTTTATTTATTTATATATATTATATATAAAATGTTTCTATGTTATTATTAATAGTTAAAATACTATTATTTATTAATTAAGGTATGTTTTTAATTATAAAATATCGTTTTAATTATAATAAAAAAATTATTAAATTATTCAATAAATGATAAAATATGATTAATTAAATTTCAAAATAGCTAATTATTTTTTTTATAATATTGAAAATATACATTTATTTAATTTTTGATTAATTATATATATTAATAAAAAGTTTTAAATACTATCGAAATAATTAAAAATTCTATTTCAAAAATATATAAAAAATTTTATAAAGAAATTTAATTAAATAAATAAAAAAAAATATTTTAACAAAAAAAATATATTTAACTATTTTTAGATAATTAAATTGTGTTTTATTAATAATTTTTATTAATTAAATTGATTTTAAACTAAATTTAAAATTCAATACATTATATTATTTTAAAATGATTAAATTATTTAAAAGAAATTTATAGAATAAAAATATATATATATATATAAATATATATATATATATATATATATAAATATATTATTTATAATTATAAGAGAAAATATTTATAAAAATAAATAAATAAATAAAATAATATTATTTCATGATATTTATATTTATTCAAAGAAAAAAAAAATAATTTTATAATTTACCAAAATTAATAAATTTATCTATACATTTTTTTTTTATTGTATAACTTTAAATTCCATTTTTAATAATTACAGTAAAAATTTAATGTAATATTTTTTATTACTATTAAATTTTTTGGACAAAACATTATAATTAATTCTTAAAATCTATTATATACTATTATTAATATTATATATTATCGAAGTACATATTTTTAATTTATTTAAATAAAATGTATAAAAATATATTAATATTAAGATATCTTATATATAAATATTCCTTTTAATATTTTATTTTTATTAAAATTGATAAGTTAAAAATTAAATATATATTAGGTTATTTGTGTTTATTTTATTTTAATTTATTTAGAAATATTAAAAATATATCTAAATTAAAATTTTTAATATTTAATTATAAAAATTAATTGTATGGTTTATTATTTTAAATAAAAGTAAATTTAAAAATTCAGAAATTTATGTTTATATATAAATTAAAAAAATCATCCATATATTTAATTACAATAGAATGTAGAAAAAATAAATAAATTATATTTTATATTTTTATTTTTATTTTTAATTTTAATTTTCTTTTTATCTTTAAAATTAGTTGTAAATAAACAAATATTTAATTTATATATATATTTTTCAAAAAAAATAAAAAAAATCTAATTTGAATATTTTAGTAATAAAGTATATAATTTAACAGTATTCTTATTTTATATTGATGTAATATATATATATAAACAATATTTTTACTTAAAAAAAAAAAAAAACATAATTCTAATTTTTTGAAATGACTATATTTTTAAAATTAACTTTTTTTTTTTAAAAAAAAAAAAAAAAATTAAAAAAATTTAGATATAATAAAAAAAAGAAAAACAAGTTATATTATTAATAGAAAAAAAAAGAATAAACTATTTCAAAAACATAATGAACAATACGAACATATCAAGTATTGAATATCCATATATGAAACTTCCTTATGAATATGCAGTAAAATGTAAAATTTATTTATTAGAACCAAAAAATAATATATTAAAGCATTTAAATAAATACGAAAATAAACTGAAAAAGAAATAAGCTCAATTTTAAACACAATAATACAGCTTAAAAAAGAAGAAACATTTAAAAAAGAAGTCGTTTAATAACAAATATAATCACTTTTAAAAAGATTAAATTTATTAAAGGAATAACTATATCATGATTATAAAAATTAAACAAGTATTTATTAAAATTGTAACCAGAGAATAGAAAATTTAAATAAATTAAAAGAAGAAAATTTAGATTCATAATATTTATATCATAAGGAACGTACTAAAAGATTAATAATAGAATAATTAACAAGAGATGGAAACATATAAATAGCTAAAAAGTTATGCTAAAATTATAAATTAGAAGTAAAAAACAAAAAATAAAAAAATATAAAATTAATAATAATTAATATATAAAATAAATATCATATAATTTCTAAAAAAAATATAGTAATATATTAATTAAAATAAATAAAAACGACTTTAAAAATTTTTAATATAAATACACATATATATATTTATATCTTTATATATTTATATATATATATTAAAAAATGAGGATTCATTATACATTGAAATTAATTAAATCTAAAATAATAACATAATAATTTAAAGCTTACAAAATTAAAATATAGAATATGCTTTTTTATGGTGTTAATAACAATAATCTAAATTAAACAAAATATAAAATGATTTTTAGTTTAAATTAATTTAACAACAATATATATAGCTTTTATAAAAAAACGAAATATCTAAAGCTCGAATTTATTTTTAAAAATATTCCCTTAAGTATAAAAATACTCATATGAAAGAAATATAAAAACTCTTCATGTGTATTCTTTTGTTAAAAAATATTCATAAATATCCCCAATATTCCTATTATTTTGATAACTATAGATGGAATGATATAATTAATTAATTTAAATAACTAGATTTTAAATTAAACTCTATTACATCTAATTCCTAATTAAAAGTTTCTTTACAAGCTGGTCTTTCTACTTTAAAAACTATTAATTGTTGTAATCCTAAATATTAATGTCCTGATAAATGTCCTATATGTACTCCTAATATTTAGAAAGTTTATAAATATTTATATTTACTATTATTATTATTTTTATTTAGCTTTGTGAAAATGTACCGAGTACTCATAAAAGCTTTTCAACTTTGATTTGTAGAATTACAAATGAAGTTATGAATGAAAATAACTATCCAATGGTTTTGAATAATAATTAAGTCATTAGTTAAAAAGTAGAATATATAAATAATTATTATATATAAATTATTATTAAAATTATTATTATATATAAATATATAAATATATTTATATAGAATAATATATACATTTATATATATGTGTTTATATATGAGATTTTATCTTTTTTTGGTTTTTTGTAAAATATATAGGGTATTTAATAAATGATTGATTAAAATAATATTATATGTCCTCTTACTCATAAATAAGTTAATTGGAAAGAATCTAAGAAAATATATTTGTCTTGAATATTGTTTAAATGTTTGATAATAAAATATATTTTTTATAATTAATTATTTAATAATTTAATAAAAAAAAATTAAATTATTTAATTTCATTTCATACATTTTCTAAATTATTAATATTTTATTTTATTTTAATTTAATTTTACTTTAGTTTAGTTTTTAATATTATAATAAAAATAAATTTTTATTTCAAATAAAAAATTAAAATAATTAAGAAAATATCATTTTTTTTTTTTTAAAAAAAAAAATATTAATAATAAAACTAAAATTAAAATACATATAAATATTCATATAAAGATGTACATATAACTAAATGCTAAACAATTATTATCTATCGTATTTAAATTAAAAATAAAAAATTATTAATTCTCAACTACAACATCTAAATATTCAGATATATATTAACTTGAACAAGACGAAATAAACTAAATATTATTTAAAAACGAAATAAAGACCAAATAAGATAATACTTAAATCTTATAATAAAACCAAAAATTACTTTAATAAGAAGAGTAGGAATATAATAAAGATATAACTGAAAAAATAAAAGAAATAACTTCACAAAGCAAATTTTCTATGCAATTAAATAATGAAGAAAACGGAAATATACAAAAAATATAAGAAAATATACTGAAAGAAAGCCAATAAGATATGATTCCTTAAGTAAAATATTACAAATACGGACTTCCTATTCCAAATATAGATCCACAAATAAAAGGAATTGAAGAAATTTTTGAAAAAAAAAAATATGAGATTGTTACACCTAACTAACGTTTATGGAATGTTTTAAATCTAAATGAAAATACACCTTATGAAGCATATTAAATGGCTTTAAGGCATAAATACAATAATGAAATAGATATGTATGGTGATATAGAAGACGAAGTATTATTATATAAATTATTATATAAACTAACATATATATATATATATATATATATATATATATATAAATATATATTTATTTATATATATATATTTATTAAAATATATAAAAAATTTTATATATAGGTTTCAATCAGAGAAATTTAATAAAAAGAATATGGTAATTTAGTTATTCCTATTAATTTTTTAGAATGTACAGAATATATGGATAGAATGAAAAGAAATGTCAGCATAAATTTTAATATTCCAGGAACTTTAGAAAATGAACATCCGCATAAATTTATTTAAAATTTAAGACCTTTATAAGAATTTAGAAACACTCCTCTAATTCCTATTAGCGAAAAATAAATGTAGGATCATCAAAAAAAAATGGAAGAATATAATAGAAAGGGTTTTTATTTTGAAGTTAAAAGAGATACTATTTATAATTGGATTCTTGCTTTTTTTGCTTTTAGTGTTGGTTTTTACATGATTAGATTAGTTATAAAAAAAGAAGAAGAACAAGGAATTGAAGTTGAAAGAATTAAAATTAGGAGAATTTAATAAAATAATTATAATTATAGATGAATAATATAGTTAATTTTTTTTCCCAGTTTTTTTATAGATTTTGCTATTTTTTTCAAAATATTGATTTTAAAATATAAATTGGTTTATAATGTAATATTTTATTTATTGTTAATAAATTTAAAATTTATGCAATTTCATTTTTTATTATATTTTTAATTCTACAAATAAAGATAATAAATATTTTTTTTCGTTTATACATATATTTATAGATAAAGACTTTAATCATTTTATAAAAAGTTAGAATATAATTATATATAATTATTTTCTATATTTTATTTTTAAATTAATTAAATAATCTTTTCATTAGAATTCTATTTTTATTTATAAAAGTTTTATATAAAAAATTAAAATATATAAATTAAAAATAATAAGTGAATAAAAAATATATAATATTTATAATATTAGTAAACATATATAAATTAATTTATATTTATTTATATAAATAAATTAAATATTTAATTTAATAAATTTTATAGTTAGTTATTTTATATTCAATAAAATATTTTAAAAATACAAATAATTAGTAATAAATTTTTAATTATTATTTTATAATAATATTTATATATTGAATATAAATTATATTAAGTATTATATAATATTAAAAATAAAAATTATTTAAAAAATATATTATTTATGTAAGATAAAGCTAAAATTTAAATTATTATTAATATTTTTTTTAAATATTCAATTTTTTATATATAAATATTTATTTAATATATAATATTATTACTAAATATATTGCTATATTTTTTAAAAAAGAAAAAAAGAAATAAATTAAAATAAAAAAAAAATTAAAAAAAACAATATTAAAAACATATTTATAATAAAATAATATATTATTTTTTTCTGAAATGATTAAAAATAACAATTTAATTTAGCAAATAATTTACTAAAATAACGATAAACATATTTAATAAGAAGTTAATAATCATATAAAGCCTAATTCTTAAAGCATAATTAATAAAAAATTTTAAGAAACTTAAAATAATATCAATAATATATTGTATTAAATAATAAGAGAAAACAAGAATTTTAATTCAATTGAAGATATATATAAATTTGTAAATTATTAACTATGTATATATATACTATTTAATATATAAAAATTTTGAAAAAAACCTTTAATAATAAATTTAACTAAATTTTTAAATAAATAAAAAGATAAATAATATTTAATATGAAAATGCACATTTTATATTACAAAAACTTTATTTGAAATTCTTCGAATATTTTTCATAAGCATTTTAAGAAGAGAGTATATAATATAACAAGAACGAAAATACCAAAATTAATTTCATAGAAGAAAATATACATTAAAATTTCAGTTTTTTTAATTTAATATCTAATCTTATCATAGATATGAATTAACTTTAAGAAAAATTTATTTCATAATAATAATAATAAAAAAAAAGAAATAAAAAATTAAAATTTATAAGCTTTTTAAATTTTTTAAGATAAAGACATTTTTATTAGATTAAATCCTATTAATATAAGCACTTAATAATTCTAGCTTTCCTTTAAAAATTATCCAAGATTAGAAGTAAGGTAAGATAAATAAATAATATTATATTTATTTATTTTTTACGATTTTTTTTTTTTTCTATTAGGGTAGGTGTGGAAAAAAGCATTAATTATTTAATTGAATATTTGCAAAAAAAATGGATTAAAATAAATGAATATGAGATTAATTTATATCCTGATATTAATAATTGGCTATTAGAGTTTAATATATAAGATAATGAAAAATTAAATGAAAAATTAATGATAAATGATATTTATTTAGGATATAACTTTCCTTAAGATATGATTATTTATTTAAACTATGAAATTGTTAAAAAATAAGGCTTTGAATTTTCAAAAGAATAATATGTGTTTGATTAAAATTTGAATTAAATTGAGGAAAATAAATGCTAAAATGAAAGTTTAAATTTATAAAATAATTAATAATTTATTAATTCTAAATGTATTTTTTTTTTTAAAAAATAAAATAATATTTTTTAAAAAAAATAAAAAAGTAAAGAAAAAATAAAAAAATGCATTAAAAAAATAATAAAAGAAAAATAAAAATAAAATTTATTAATAAAACGAAGTATTTAATATTTTTAATATATTAATATTTTATTTTTTTTACTATAAAAAATAGTATTAATAGAACATTATAGAAAACTAATAAAATTTAAATAATTCTATTTAAATTTAAGAAAATACAAATAAATACAATAAACTTAAATAAAATACTAATTTTCGGACTTTAAACTTTGACAGTAATTAATATTTTAGTTTATTAAATATGAATTCTATAAATAATCAATATAGTAACAATTATTTATTCAATACGAATATTGCAAATAATTTTTAAAGTAAAAAAAACGAGATGAAGAAGGGGAATAACTTATCAAGAAATTTAGTTTAAATAGAAAATAAATAATAAGCATATAATTAAAATTCTTTAAAATTAAATTAAATAAATTCATTAATAATTGAAAATAATAACTAAAATTTAAATAAAAATGAAAATTTAATTGATTAAAATTAAAAGTTAAATGATAAAAATTAAAATATAAATGATAAAAATTAAAATGATAAAATTAAAATTTAAAATTAAAATTCAAACGATTAAAATTAAAATTTAAATGATTAAATTTTAGATTTAAAAATAGAAATAAAAAATAAAGAAGTTTAATTAATAAAAGAAAAAGAAATAAAAAAATGTTAAAATTTAGAAGAAAAAAACATTATTGAAATTAAAAATGAATTCATTTAGGAAGAAAAACTTAATAATGAACAAAAACAACTAAATAATGAATAACAATTAATTAATGAAAAAAAAAAAAATAGTAATGAATATAAATTTTTAAATTTTGATAATAATTTTACTAAATTTGTACATTAATAATAATAGCCTATTTAAAACGATAAGGTTGAAAATTTTAATAAATATGAATAGTAATAATAGTATTTAAATTCTAATAATAGTATTACTAATTAAAATAAAAATACTTCAAATGATTAATATAGTAATTAAAATTCTATTAATAAAAAAAACTTTCATAGCTTAAAGTTTATTGAGAATTTAGTTGAGTCTGTTGGAAATAAAAATGCTTAATAGAATTTTATTAATAATAATTCGAATAATAATGTTTAAATTAAAAATATCTCTATTGTAAGGAAAATATAATAAAAATGAATAATATATATATATATACATATATTATCATAAATTATATACACATAAAAAGAAAAAAAATTGATATATAAAAATTTTTATTTTAGGTAAAGTTTATATTTATTATAAATATATATGTTATTTTTTAAATAATAAAATAAAAATATATTTTGTATATAATACTTACACTTTTTAATTTTACAAAAAAATATATATATATATATATATATATTTATATATATTTATATATATTTATTATATATTACTTTTTAAATTTGTTCTTTAATTTTATTTTGTTATGTTTAAAAACGCAAATTAAAAAAAATAATGCGAAAAAAAACGAATCATTGGCATTTTTTTTTTATTTGGCTTTTTTTAAAAAAAAATTAGATAAAAAATAAACCATTCTAAAAAGTCATAAAATATAAAAATATGGTTTATTTATAAATATTTTTTTTCTTTGTTTTTTTTTCTTTTTTCATTTAAAAATTTAAAATATTCCTTTTTTTTCTATTTAAACGCTTAAGTTTTTTTTTTAATTAAGTATATTTTTAAGTTTAATATATCTTTATTAAAAATAATCTTTATCCTAAATAATTTTCTAATACAACATATTATTATTAGCAAGTCTTTCTTCTAAAATTTTCATTTCTTTTTTAAGGAAATGATTTTCCTCATATAACTATAATTTTTCTAATACAAATAAGCTCTCGACTTTATGGCAATGACTTTTATAAGAATCTAATTCTTTTATAAGTTAAATTTTTTATTTATCTGATGCTTTTTCAGTTTTTAATTCATGTATTTATTTAACGACTTATTTATAATCTTAATTGAGTCTTTTAATTGTACTTTATTGACTTTAATTAGAAAGTTCTAGTTTAGAGACTTATATTTATAATTCTTCGTTTTTTAAATTAATTCTTATAAATAATCTCTTTCTTGTTTTTTTCATCTTTTTCTTAACTTATGGGAAATTTAAATTATTTTTTTAATTAATTTCTTGTTGATATTACTAATTGGCTTTTTTTATAGTTTTTTTAAACTGTACTTGTTTTTTCTTCCTCTTCGGTTATACTGAAATCTTCGTCTTTTAATTCTTCACCAAGAATTGTTTTATCTAAATTATTTTAATTAGGAGATATTAGAATTTATTATTATTATAAATTTCTTTCTTTCCATTTTTCTAATTCTTGTATTTTATTATCATTTTATTCTATTTATTCTTGTAATAATTCAACTTATTTTTGACCTAAAATTACTTAATTTTTAAGGTTTTCTATATTTTAATTAATTATTTTATTTTCGGTTTATAAGTTTATCACTTGTTTGATTAATTCGTCCCTTATTTGCATTAATTTTTATTTTAAATATTTTTTTCGTTAATTTCTTTATTAGAGTCTTCTTTTAATTACTCTATTTCATTTAAAAGTGCTTTTTCTCTATTAAAAATTTTTTTTTCGCTTTATTTATTTAATTCCATTTCTTTTTTTTAGACGTTATTTTATTCTTTTTATAGTTCTTCTTTTAATTGTTTTATCTCATCTTCATAATCTTTTAATTGTTTTTCCAAAAAACGAATTTTTTCATCTAATAATTGCATTTATTTTAAAAAATCCTATTCTGTCTGTAAACTTTCTACTAGATTTTGATAATTTCGCTAGTTATATTATACCTAATTTTACATATTTCGCATTTTTTCTTCATTTAGTTAATAGTTTATTTCATATTACTCTATCTTTTATTCATAATATTATACTTTTTGGTCTAAATCAGCTTTAAGAGCTACCAAAAATCGCTACTTTTCATCCAAAGATTGTGTTAAATCGATAATATGTTTTTCTTTTTCCACTATTGTGTCTATAGCGCCTTTTTTTATTTAATCAAATTCTGTTTCTAGTTCTTATTTTTAATTTTATAATTCAATACATAAATTAAACATTTTTTCCTATTTTTTTTTTTATTATTATTGTTATTTGTTATTTATTACCACATCGATTTCTTAATTGTTTATATTAGAAATTTTAAGTCTATCTATTTATTTACGTAATTATGCATTTTCTTGTTATAATTATAAGTTTTCGCATTAAATAAAATCTTCTTTTTCATTTTTTTCTGTTATTTCTAATTCTAATTAATTTAATTTTTCTTATAATTCTGCTTTTTGTATATTTTCGCTTAAATCTTAAAGTTTATTTTATAGAGTTTCATCTAAAGTTTAAACTCTTTGTTTTTAGTTATTTAATTCATTTGTTAACTATAGTTTTTTTTTTTTTTTTTTTTTGATTATTAAATATATATATATATATATTTTTATATAACTTCTATTTCTTTTTGCTTAAATTGTAATTCTATATAACGAATTTTCTTTTATAATTCATCATTTTCTATCTGCATTTACTAATACTTTAATTCGAAGTTTTCTTAATCGTATTAATCGAATGAAATGTTTAAATCCTATTGCATTTATTATTTATATGTATATTATTTTTAATTTAATAAAATATATTAATATATATTTTTTATTTACAATAAAATTAAATTTTTTAAATTATTATTGTAATTATATTATAATAATAATAAAATTTATTGTTATTAAAATTTTTTATTTTTTTAAAAATAATCTTTAATTAAATTTTAAAAATTAAAAAAAAATATTTCTAAAAGAAATGCAAAAAAAAAGATAATTATTATATATTTAAATACAATAAACATATTTTAAAATAAATGAATATATTTAAATATTTTGAATTTAATAAAAATAAATAAAAACATAAAACAACAATCTTTAAAAATAAATATTATATACTTTAATCATATTTTAATTAAAAAAAATATATTTATAAATATATGTATATATATATATATATATTTATATTTATATTTATATATAAATTTATTTATATGTTTTTATATATAACAATGAAAAATCAAAAAATAATTCTACTTTAACCTATAGGACTATAAGAATTACCAACTAATCTATGATTATTAACACTAAAATAATTAGATCCTCCTAAGACTTAAGGATTTTTATAATATATTAAATCATGTTCCAGATTATTTAATAAAATCTCTTTTTTCTATTTATTAATAGTTGATTATTAAAGTGAATAATTTGGATGATACATTTATTTGACTCTACTTTATTCTAATTTATTGAAATTTCTATAAGTTGTTGAAAATTAACTATGTGCTCTTTTTTCAATAAAATCATAATTATTATTATTTTTTTAAGATAAATTATAATAATTTTATTCTATTGCAAAATTTTTTAATTATTTAATAAATGAAGGATTTGGATTAGAAACATTTCTCCTACTTCTCACATGCGAAAAGGCCTAATCAAAACTCCAACCCCTTTTATAGATTAAATAGGCAATTACAGAAGTTACTGAACGTGAAATTCCTGCATAACAATGTACTAATATGTTAGTTTATCTTCTAGCTGTTTCTATAAAGTTTATTATTTCACTAAAATATTATGATAAATCTTAATATAATGCATCATCTACACTTATTATTTTATGTAAAGGGATTTCATATTAATTATAACGCAAATTTGTACCACCTGCAACTGTTAAAACAGCACCAATATTATGTGATTTTAAATATTCGACATTACTGGCAGCTTCGAGGTTGCCTATATATATTGCACCGCCTTCTTCAGGTGAAGGTTCAATTATTAAATTCATGTTTTAACTGAAAGTGTATTGTAATTTTTATCTTAGTGGTTAAATTTTAGTTTAGATAGGGTAGGAGAGTGGATGTTAGTTATAAAACATTTTTTTTTTTTTTTTTTAATTTTTTTTTTAATTTTTTTTTTAATTTTTTTTGTTTTTATTTTTTATTTTTTTTTTTAGTTTTTTTGTGGCAATTTATTTAAGGCAAAAAATTTTTTAACATGATTTTATAAATATTTATAGTATATAATTTAAAGGTTTTGTTAAGAAATTTAATATAATTAAATGAAAAAAATATATTATTTATTAATATAAATCATTTAAAAATAAAGTTAAAAATATTTTATAAGTGTGAATTTATCTCATAATAAATTGTATTTGGTTTAATAATATATAGATACATATAATATATTTTATTTTTTACTTATATAATATTACATATTAAATATATTTTATTTATATTAATTATTATTTTTAATAATCATAAATTTCATTAAAAATGTTAAATTAAATATTTTTTTATAGTTAATAAAAATTATATATTTTAATAATAATAATATACTTTATATATTTTAAATTATAATAATAAATATTTATTTTTTACTATTAATTATATATTTGATGAATTTTTTGTTTAAAAACATTAAATATTATAATAAATTATTTTTTAAAATTATTAATACAAATTACATAATTTATAATATTTTTATAAAGAAATTAATTTTATATAAATACAAAATATATATAAAAATACATAAAATATATAATTTTTATTAAAATTAATATATTTTTATAATCAATAAATATCTTTTTTTTCTTTTATATTTATCAATATATAAATTATATTATTCTACATAATATTCTGTTTACAAAATACTATAAATGCTTAAAATACAGTCCTAATTATTATTATCATATATTTTGATATATTAAAACCAGACAAAATAAAATACGAAAAAAATAAATATTTAACAAAATTAATGTCATTTATTAGATAAAATACATCGACTATTTCAATAAAAATTCAGTAAATAATAATAAAAGTAAATTATTTAAATAATATTACTAAAAATAGACATAATAATACATAACATAAGAATTTATAATTTTGCATATTAATAAAAAATATATATATTATTAATAATGTATTTTAATATATTTCTAATTAATTATATTTCAATTATTTATTAGAATAGATAATCTTATTATATACAATAAATAACTTAAAATACATTCTAAATAAAAATTGATAAAATAAATTACAATATAATTTTTCTAATAAATAAATTATAAAGTAATTATTATAATTATCGTAAGTAAATATTATTGGAATAATATTTTATAAAGAAAAAACTTTTTTTATAATAATATTTATGCCATTTTTAAAAAATTAATGTTTAAATATTAACTTTTATAATAATTTTTTGTTTTCTAAAAATAATACAAATAAGGAAGCACTAAAAATATTCATTATAAAATCAATAAATTAAGAATTTTTTAATAATAATGCTAAAAAAAAAAAAGTCATAAACAAAATTAAAATTAAAATTAAAAAGAAAAGGAAAAAAATTATTAAACCAATAAATTAAAAATCGAATATATAATCTTATTATTATGTGTAAAATCGATTTTTAAGTATTAATTGATAAATAAATAGATATAAAATATAAATTTTGAAATGTATAATAATAATATAATTTATATGGTATTAGTTTTATTTATTTATCTTAAATAAAATAAACAAAACAATATAAAAAATACAAAATAAATTAATTAAATTTTTATATATTAAATTAATTAAATAAAAATCAATTAATTAAAATCAGAAAAAATAATTAAATTTATGCTAAATAACTTAATAATAAAAAAAAAATAACAATGAAACAATATTTTGAAATTTTCAATCCTAATTTTATTCAAATTATTCAAGTTCATAATTTTATTATAAAATCTCTAAAAAAAAAATAATGAATAACATATATATATATAAATATATAATATATATATATATATATATATTAAATATGAATTTTATATTAAATACATTCTTTATTTAGTTTTTATTTATTTTTAAAGAATATATCTTCGTTTTTTTCTTATATAAATTCCATTTAATTATTATTATTTTATTCACTTTAATTTTATTATTTAGCAAATTTACTTATTTAAACATTAGTAAAATTTCTATTAATAATTTTAATATCCGGAGATTCTAAGCTTTCTTCCTCTTCATGTATGTCTTTTAGTTTTTCATCTATTAAATATATTTATATATAAACTTTTATTTTATTTTTTTGGATAAAAATATACTTTATTTATTAATAATATCGTCTTATTATTATTTTTATTTTTCTTCTTCTATATTTATATTTAAACTACAATCATTATTATTATTTTTATTTAAATATTCTTGATTATATTTAATAGAAGAATTACTTAAATGGTCATCTTTCGAATTATTTTTAAATTAATAATTAAGATTATGTACAAATGAAGTTATTTATTCCTAACTGATTTACGCGAAAGAATTAATTCCTTTATTTTCCAAATTAAATTATTTATCATCAAAAGTACCTAATTTTCTAAATTTCATAATACTCATATTATATTTACTTTATTATTAATAACTATTTTTAATTTCTTAATCATCATTTAATATTAAGGGAAAAGTAGAACTTTTTGTCCTATGGTTTTCTTTTTAAAAATAAGGATGATTTAAAGCTTCATCAGGACTAATTCTTTTCTAAGGATCTTTTTCTAATAGGCTTTTTAAAAGTTCAAATGAATATAAAGGTAAATCACTAAAAATTTGTTAAGTAAAATCAATATTACATTCTTTATTTAATTTTAATACTTCATTAAATTTCTTTCCAGTAAATAAAGATCTGTAAAATAACCTATATAAATATAAATAAAAATATAAACTATTATATATATAAATAAAAAATGAGTATATAAATGTATATAAAAAAATATAAATATATATAAATATTTAATATATATAATAAATATATATATATATATATATATTATTTATCTATTATATTTACAATGTATGAAAAATTACTCCAACTGAAAACATATCACATATAGCTGAATATCCTTTTTTTTCTTTTTCCACGTAATTTGCTACTTCTGGTGCTACATAACCTGGAGTTCCACATTTACTGAATAAATAAGGAACATCATTTGTAAAATCAGCAAGACCGAAATCTACTATTACTAAGGAATCTAATTTATCTTTATTTTTGAACATTATATTTTCCGGTTTCAAATCTCTGTGCATTATTTATTTATCATATATATGTTTTACACCTAAAATAATTTATTTTATAATTATTTGTGTTTCTTCATGTGTAAATTTTTTTTCTTCTTTTGCCTTTTTAATTGTTTAGTAAAGAGAGTCACCATCTAGTATTCCTAAAACAATATAATATGTGCTATTTCCTTCATAATTTCCTATAAATTCTATTATATTAGGATGATTTCCTAAATTTTATAGTATTTTTATTTCTTTATATAATGATTTCTATAAATTATTATATATAAAAATTATTTTATTTTTATTTTTTATTTTTTTTTTAAAAAAAAGAATACTAAGCCGTTTTCTGAATTGTATAATTTTTCTTTACTAAAACATTTAACTGCAATCTTTTTATTTGAAACTCTGTGTCTAGCTGAAAAAACCTATATAATAAATAGATAAATGTTATATTAAGGAATTTAAAACATAATTATATATAAAAAGAATATATTTTTTACTATAAATAAAATCAAATTAATTTATATTAAATTTATAAAAATATTTAATTTATGAAAACAAATAATAATTATATACTCTGGCATAATTTCCTTTTCCAATTTAAGCCATTAATTAATATTCATCTTAAAAATGATTTTAAAATACATATTTACTTAAATAATCTTTTAGTTAAACAATAATTAAATGCTTAGCTGAAAATTCTATTTCTTATGTTTTAATTTGTTAATTATCTGATTCATTTATTTCTCTTTTTAATATTTTTAATCCACTATATTATAAATCTGGTGCCTATTTATTTGTAATCCATTTCACACAATCATATTTTTCAACTGTGATTATTTTATAAGGAACTTTTTAGTATGCTTCCTTTAAATATATATTTATATATTATATATTTTTATATTATACTTTTGTTAAAATTAAACGATTTTTATCAATATATACATGTAATGTTTAATTCTATAAAAATGACTTTTTTTATAATTATAAGTGCATTTAACATGTGGAATAATCAAAACTTGGTACACTAGATATCGAACTTCTTTTTCGGGTAATAGATTTTTTTATTTAGAGTTGGTCAGACATTATTTATAATATTAATTTTTAAATAGATTGTTATTAATTTCTTGATTTTATTTTATTTTTTTTTAAAAAAAAAAAAAATTATAAATCTATAAATAAATTAATAATAAATTTTATATAAATTAAATTTTTTATAAATAATAAATTATTTAATTTTAATTTAAAGAATAAATTAAATAAGCTTTAATGTTAAATTATTTAAAAATTATTTAAAATTTTTAATTAATAAAATATTTATATATATTTAAATAATATTTTTCAATATTTAATATAAAAATATCTCTTATTATTATATATATAAAATAATCAAATATAATTTTTATATAAAAATAAAAAAATATAACATATATAATTAATAACAATTAAAAAATAAATAAAAAATTATGTGAATTTAAAAAAAAAAAAACTTCTATAAAAAAAAAAGAAGTAAAAAAAATATAATTAATATAATATAAATAAAAATAATAATAAACAAAAAAATTAAAAAAATATTTAAATAAATATAATATGAGATATAATACATATTAAAGAAGCAATAGTCCTACAAACAGAACTCATTTATTGAACATTTCTTCTAAATTTACAGGCACAGGAGGAAGTAATAATTTATATAAAAAAAATAAAGCTATATATATTTTAATATATTATAATATTAATATTAGATTCTTCATCATTAGCTCCTAAAAAGTAATAATTGATTCCCAAAGTTAAGAAAACAGGGATTTTTGAAGCTTAAGCAATTGTTTAATAAGAAGTTAATTTATTTACAAAATATTATGATAGAGGCGATTTACCAATTGCAGTTAGTTTTCTTGGTGCGAATCGTAAAGTAAATAAAATAAATATGAAATAAATTAATAATAAAAAAAATAAAAGTTAACATGGAAAATGGAACCTGAAAGTCTTGATTATCATTTGTATTTACCAATTTTTTTCGAAGGACTTCGTGAAACAAAAGAACCTTATAAAGTTTTTATTTTTTTAATATTAATATATTTATATTTATGTAAATATAAATATATATAAATATATATATAAATTTATATATATATATATAATAAATAATAAATAATAAATATATATAATATACATATATATATATATATATAAAAAAAAATAACTTATTTTATTTTATCTTGAATATTTGTATACTTTTTATTTTTAATTTATTTTTTATATTTAAAATTTTATTTCTATAAAAATTAATTATTATAGTTTTTAGCTGATTAAGGATGTGAAGAATTATTGGCGAGAGGCGGTTCTAAAATATTTGCAGTTTTACCTCAATTAATTATTCCAATAAAAAGTATTTTTTTTTTAATAAAAATGTGTTTTTTAATGTTTCTTATTATTAAAAAATATTAATTAAAAACTTATAAATATTTTAACATAATCTTTCTTTAAAAAATCAAATTAATTTTTCATTTATAAATTTTAATTTTTAATTATTAATTTTAGAGGCTTTAGCAACTAAAAATCATACTATTATGTGTAATACTTTAAAAAAAATACAAAAACTTGTAGTTTCTAGTGATATGATTGGAGAAGCTTTAGTTCCTTATTACAGTTAATTTAAAATATTTAATATTTATATATAATATATATATATTATTTATATATATATATATTTATTTTTATACATTTCTATTTTTTTTTTTTTAATCTTATATAGGACAAATTTTACCTGTTATGAATTTGTTCAAAGGAAAAAGATGTAATTTTTTATTTATTTTACTTTTTGTTACTTATTTTTATATAAAGTAAATATAGGAGATAAAATTGATTATTCATAAAGAAAAAATGAAAATTTATCTGATTTAATCTAAGAAACTTTAGAAATTTTAGAAAAATATGGTGGTGAAGATGCTTATATTAACATAAAATATATGATACCAACATATGAAAGCTGTATGTTTTGAAAATTATTATTATAATATATAATTATATTATATCTATTGTAATATAATTATATAAAAATATTTTTTTCTTTTTTATTTTTTCGTAAATATAATATAATTTTTTTTTATTGAAAAAATAAATAAATTATATTATAATTTATGAAAATTATATTTTATTTAATTTTTTTTCTAAAATATATATAATATTTTCTTTATTCATAAATATTATTAGTTATTTTTTACTAAGATAAATAATATATAACTTTTTATTATATAATTTTTTATACTTCAGGTCATTTATCATCAATAATGATTTATTACTGTACATAATAAAATGATATAAAATTTAAAATTATTAAAAAATATAAAATATATTACAAAAAAAAACATTATATAGAGTTCATCATTAAAATGTAGTAAATAAAAAAAATTTACGATATTATAGTCCATTTAATATATAAAGGAAAATTAAAATAAAAAAATAAAAAATATATCCTACAAAATATGAGCATCATTAAAATTCTAATCCTTAAATATAAGTAAATAATATATTACAAAAACTTTAATTCATATATTTAGAGGGCAAAAATTAGATTATATTAAAAATATGTAATTAATAAAAAATTATATATATACAAAAAATTATATAAATATTTTTGAATCCTAAAGTTATAATGATATAAATGATATAAGAAAATAATATGTGATTATACTTATTGAAAAAATAAAAAAATTAAAATGATAAAAAAAGATAAAAATAATATAATAAAAATTAAATAAAAGAGAAAATATATAAAATATAAAAAATAACATTTTAAAGATAAATATATAGAAACATAATATATATATATATATATATATTTATTATTTTATATAATATATCATTTATATATATATATTATTTTTTATTTTATTTA